AATTTTAATTAACCACATGTCATAAAATGACTTTTTAAATTTTTTGCCATCTCTGTAAATATTTTACTTATTTTATCATTTTCACTTTATAAAACTGATAATATTAGAGTAATTAAAAACATCTTTTCAAAATGCCTTTCATTTAATATTTTAATGCATTATGTTTGTTTTTCTTTAACAAATAATACATAAAAAGATTATAGTTATAAAAAGACAATGCAGTATTTTTTAAAGATAAAGTTTTTAAAAACAGATAAAAAACACATGGACTTTAAACTTTTACGCACTAATAATCTAATAATTATTTAAATTTTAGGTATGTTTAAAGAGTTTACTTTTATTTTCTCTTTATTTTAATAGAAATACCGTTATTTTTCTATTTTATATTCTTTACTTTAATTTTTTCTCTGCTTTTCTTGCTATTGTGTTGTTTTTACATCGCTGTTAACAGTGTTTAAAGAGTTTTCATTATTCTCACAACTAGATTTGTTTATTTTCTCTTTATATTGCTGCTGTTTTTGTTTTATATCGTTGTTAACACTGTTTAATGACATACCGTTATTTGTATGCCTTGTTTTGTTTACATTGTTGTATCCTTTATAAACAGTGTTATTTTCAAGTGTTGCCACATAGGTTTTTTTATGTAAACGCTTATTTATCTTGAGAATTACATCGTTGTTAACACTGTTTAGTGATACCGTTATTTTTATGCCTTCTTGTGTTTACATTGTTGTATCCTTTATAAACAGTGACATATTCAAGTGTTGCCACTTAGATTTTTTTATAAAAACGCTCAATTATGTTGAAAATTCGAAAAATTAAGTAGATTTTTCATAAATTAAATATTTTTTTAATAAATTTAAATGAAAATAAAGCTAAATTTTTAAATAAATATTTAGAAAACATTAAATATTCGTTATTTTGCACAAAAAAACTCAATTTTGAAAAAATGTTTCATTAAATATTATATTTTATTTATATGATTAAAACTTAATGTATTCCCTAGAAACAATTTATTTATAAAAATATTAAAACAAGTGATTCAAACTTACCTTTACCAAACAAAAACATGACATGATATTTATGCATACTTTTTAACCTCAAGATGATTCATTATTTTGCAAAAAATGTGTGCTATGACCGAACCCTCTTAGCAAAAAATATACAGTTTAGTGTTTTGCTTTTTTAAAAAATGCGCAATATTATTAAATAATACCGATGTTTTTTTAAAACCATATTATAATATGAATACACTATTTGAATGAATATTTATAAATTATAAAAAATAAAACAGAACAATACCCTCTATATTTCCATAACTTGTAGCTTAAATTGCCATTTTTATAGTAACAAGTCATTAACATTTGTTTTACCTAGAAATAGGTAAAAAAAAAATATATATATTGTTTGTGGGTGGTTTTATTAATTTGCAAAATTTTTATTACTTTCATTATTATTGTTGCTTTTTTCTTAAACAAAACAGGTTTTAGCTATAAAACAAAAGTAATAATATTTAATAAAAAATTTAAATAAATTATTAATAAAATATTTTTAGAAAATGAGTAGAAAAATTTTTATAAAGTGAATTTTAATTTAAAAACATATTAATTTTTTTCTTCAAAATTAACTATTTTTGACAAATCAATAAAACAAAACAGTTGTCATCACAGTTTAACCTTAGAACAAGAAGTAAACCATAAATTTCGATAAACAACACTCCAGCTCTTTAACATGCTTTCGTGTCAAACAAAATAGTTGGCAACACCTGCTTAATGTAACAAAAAGGAAAGAAAACATAAGAAATTATGTTAAAGGGAGAGAATTTAAGTCACAAAAAAGGAATTAATAGGAAAATAGCTTGAAAGTGGTTTAAGTTGCCAACTATTTAGAACTTTTTTTACTGGAGGGTGTTTGATTTCTCATTTTTTTAATACTTTTTCCTTAAAGTTGTAATTTTTAAACTTGTTTTTAGTAAAGATTTATAGTGTTTGTATGTAAATTTTTGTGTTTTACTAGTTATTTTTATTACAAATTCTTACACGTTTGTGTAACTTTAAGAAACTAGTCGCCATTTGTTGGCATATTATGGGAATTATAAAAAATTGCAATTGCCAAGTTAGTGAAACATGAAATGAATTTCTAAAATGCTATTTAAAAATGCAAAGACTTGGTAAGATTAGCATTATTAGTCTAAGAAAAAAAATATAGAATAAAAATAAACAATTAATTAACATAAATATGTTAATTTAAAAAAAAAATATCTATAAAAAGGTTGAAATTTTAGAAAATTATTAGAAATGATTTGAAAATGTTTTAAAAACTTTTTCAATTACCTAAAAAATGTTTTAAACGTTGGCATTTTTTTATTAATGTTATTGAAAAAAAAGTTTTTAATAATTTTTACACTTTTTGCTGCTTTTTTAAAATTTTGTTATTTTTTACTTTTGTTTTGCTTTGACGTTGTTTTACTTTGACATCCCTGCTCATAATAGTGTTGCCCATAAGTTGTAAAGGTTTAAAAACGTTAATAAACTTGCTTTAACTAATTTCTTGTTTAAAATTTTTGTTTTTAAGTGTTGCCTCTTATTTTCAAATAGAATAACAACAAATTAACAAATAATTGTTAATTTTTTGTAGTAAATGTTAGTAAATTATTATAAATTATATGATTTATTTATAATTATTTAATAATACCTATTATTTGCAGCTTAAACAAACTATTATAACATTCATGTTGTTGTATTTAACAAAAACCGGAAATATTTATTATTTTTTTAAACTGTTTTAAGTAATATGTGTAATTATAATTAAATTTATACAAAATAAAGGGTTTAATTTCTCAGCAGAGGTTAAGCTAACAATTAAAATTTATAATAATAAAAATTTGTTTAAAAAATAAATTAAATTATTAAGAATTTCACACGTTACTTGTAAAAAAAAAAATTGTTAACACGTTTCACATATTAAACTTTTAATAGGAAAAATAACTTTTTTTAATTTACCGCAAAAAAGGCGTATTACGCAGTAAATTATTAAAAAAAAATTAATAAATCAGAAATAATTTTTAAACTTGAAATTATTAGCTTTATTGTTGATAGTAGGGTGTTAAATATTATAATTTTTAATGATTTTAGGTTTTTTGTTTTCTTTTTTTTTGTTAAATGCTTTTTTAAAATTTATGCAAGTGACGTCAAAGAGTGTCTCTGCAAAATTACTAAGTATTCATTAATTTTTTTTTGGAGACCAGTTTTTTAAGTTAAAAACCAACGTCAGCATTTTGTATAAAAACCCCTTCAGCATATACAAATTTTATTATAAATATTTTTCAACAATTTGTTTAAAAAATTTGCTGTTAAAACTTATTTTTTAAATCCTGCAAAAAAAAAAACGCTTAACAAAACCGAAATTATCTAAAAAAAAGTAAAAAAAAAACTTTTACATTTAAACAGCAGTTATTAAGGTCAACTTTGACGTCACTAGCTGTTAACTAAACAATAAATTTGTTCACTACACACAACTAAACTAAAGAGAGACTTTCAACAACAACTACAAAAAAACAACAAAACTAACAACTAAATTTAAAAAAAAACACACAACAAAACATAATATTTAATACATATTAACAACAAATTTAAATAAATATACACTAAATCAAATTTAACATAAATTTAAAACTATTTAAATGTAAATTTATTATAAACTTAATAAATTTTTATGGCATTTAAACAAAAAAACTGTTTAAACATATATAAATCAACAGATAACTCATTAAAACCATTTAAAAACGAATTTAAAACACTTGGCAACACTTTAAAGAAAGAAAAATACCGTTACCTATAAAGTAAACACCAAAAGCAAAAAAAATGTGATTTTGTATAAAGCAAATAGTTAGCAGCATTGAAGAAAAGTCACTACAGCAAATAAAAAACACTTTACAACACTAATAAAGGTGAAGTTAACTATAACAACGCTTTACAACACTGAATTAATGTAAACAAACTAACTTAAGGTAAACAATAAACATAAAAATGACACTAGACATAGCAACATGCATAAATACAAGCAAATAACGGTATTTTTGAATGACAAATTAAGCAACTATGTAATGCCTTACATTTTAATGTAAGTTTGTGGCAATATTATCGTGTTATTTAGTTTAAATTGTTATAAATTATTTAAAATTTAAGTTGTTTTTTTATCAAACAAATTGTCATAAATTTTTGTGATAATAAAACACTTAAGTGGTTTGGTTTTTTTTTTTTTTTTTTTTGTATTTGTTAAAACGTGTGATAAGGTTGGTTAACAGATAAAAATTATTTTTAAAATGTATATTTTAAATGAAATGAAAAAATGTAGTAGTCTGTTGTTTTGTTTTACAATTAAAAAGAAATGGCTTATTAAATTTAAAATCATAAAATGAAATTTTAGTAAGTTACTAAAATTTCAAACATAAACAAGTGAAACTGAGTTAAAGAAAAGTTTAATTAAAAGAGGAAAACACAAAATGGCAGCTAAGGTGTTGTAAACCAAATAAAATTTAGGATTTTAAAATTGTTTTAGAATATTGGAGGATTTTTTAATAATTTTTTAAGAAAATTATTTTATTGTAGAATTTTATATAAAAATATTTAAAATTTCTTTAAATTGTTTTAAATTTTCTTAATAATTTCTAAACATTCTTAAAATTTCTTTAATTTTCTTGCAATTTCTTTATATTTTTTTATTTTTATTAAAATTTTCTTAAAACTTCTATATTTTTCTTAAAAAATTCTTTATATTTTTTAAAATTTCTTTGCTTTTATAATTTTTTTTTAAATTTTCTATATTCTTTCTTAAAAAAAAATTATATTAAAATTTCTCCATTTTTTAAAAATATTCTTAAATTTTCTATATTTTTCTTAAAAAATTCTATATATTTTATAAAATTTACTTTTCTTAAAAATTTTCTTTGTTTTCCAACATTTATTTAATTTCTTTATTTTCTTTCTTTGTCTTTTTAGAACATTTCCTTTGAGAATTGTGAAAATATTAATGATTACTTGGGTCAACGTGATTTTGATGCACCCAGCCGCATGTCTTTATTAAAATTTCTGGCAATTGTAAGTATTTTTTCACCCATTATTTAAACAAAATTAACATTTTTAACAAGTGTTAATTATAAATTACAATATTTAAGCAAAAAACATAAAAATAAAGCAAATAAAGTCCGTCTTACACTTCAAAGAAAATTTTCCATGAATGGAAGTTTTTGCCAAAGGCTTTTAAGAAAACCAAAAAACAATTTAAACAATAAATAATTTAAAAATTTAAGAAAATAAACAAAAATTATAATAAACAAATAAATAAACTTTTGCTTTTTTTAATATACTTTTTTTTGCTTAAATATTGGTTTTGTTTTATTTAGCAAAAAGTCTTAAAGAAAATTTACAAATTTTAAAAATTATATAGAGTTTTAAAAAGGAGACACTGCAAGCTTTAAAATGATATATAAAATTAAACAAATTTTCTGTTACAAAATACAAATATTACAAAATTTATTGAAATTAGTAAATGTTCTATAAATAAGGCACCTTACTTACAGAGCTCCTAACTTGGCCTTCAAAAAGTCTAGGATTTTGAATTTTAGAACTTAAGGTCCTATATAACTCTTCTCTTTTTAGTTAACTGTAGGCGTTTGGGCATAAACTAACTTTTTTGATTTTAAAAAGTTTAAAACTTGATGAATACAACAATTTAAAAATAAATATTTTTATTATTAGTCATGGCAAAACGTTTAAAATTATGTTAATTTTTCTTTTATTTGCTTTTGTACAAAATTTCTATAAATTATTTATGATTAGAAATTATTTGTGCAATTGTATTTAGTTTTACAATTAAAAGTTAAGAATTGTTTCATAGTCAAACACAGTCGTTTAGGTTTGACGTATTTAGCCAGACATAAGTGTGTCCAATACAATGATAATGACATTTCATGCGAAATATAAATTTGTATTTTTTACATAATGAACTTAAACTGGAATATATAGAATAGAAAAATAAAAAATTTTAAAGAAAATTTAAAAGATTTTTTAAAAAAAGTTGTTAATTTTGATAGAAATTTTGGATTTGAGTTGCAAATTGTTGAAAAAAGTCGTTAAAACTGGCTAAAATCAGTTTTTATTTGTTTGTACCACAACATTGTCAAATTTCTTTATTGTTTACATTACACTACATAAACATGTCAACAACATTTGGCAACATTTGAAATGTTGCCAGAATGTTTTATGTTTAGCTATGTTAGCGTTTTTTTGCTTTAACTATTAAAAATTAAATAAATTTAAGAAATTTTTAATAATAAACAACAAAATTTGTTGCAAAAATAAAGAAAAATAGCAAATTTATTAAAAATATTATTAAAATCGTCTAAAAGTTTAAATTTAAAACAAAATAAATAAAAAAATATATATAATCAGCTATAGAGGAAATTTCCTATCTTTCTTAACAAATACTGAACCAATAAACAAACGTCAAAAAAAGAGGGTGTGTCTAAATTCTAATCAATGCAGTTTGCTTTTTTTTTAATTAAATTTTATAAAGTTTTTTTTTCTTTAATTTAACAAATATTTTACTTTACAAAACAAAATTTTGTTTTGGTTGTAATATAAACGACTGCAAGGTAATTATTGACGCTTTACGGTGTTGACAATTGTACAAATTATTTTGTTTATTTTGTAATATTTATATATTTCAAGAAATTTACTACGGACTTTGTGTTTAAGTGACGCAAATTATAAAATAAAGAACATGTAACCATGTAGTATAATGAAAAGATAAGCAGCAATGACAGACAGTTTTAATCTTAAATTTTCTTTTTTTTTTGTAAATTATATTTATATTTATAAATAATATTTTAAATTTCAGTTGAATTTATTTGGTTCTTTGATTTAATTTAAAATTCCCCCCCAAAAAAAAAATAACTCAACTTGTTTTGAAAATTTTAAGAAATTGCATCAGCAAATTTTTCTTTATCATTTTAAATTAATTGCTTTAATGGTTTTTTAGATTTTTTTTAGTAAAATCAGCTTTTAAACACGTGTTGTTGAAGCATTAAAAGAATTTTTCAAAGTAGAATCAAATTTTTATACTTTGTCAAACTTTTTTTTTTTAAATAAAGCCACAAGTCTTTTAGTAACTTTAATTTAGAGGTTTGAAATTTCCACCTTTAGTTCTTTTATAGTAGTTTTTTAATTTTCCAAAGTTTAACTAATAAAGGTTTATTTATTTATTATTAAATAAATTAAAACTGGTGGGAAAATTTTGTCTATATGTTAATGGAATTTTTGGCAATTATTTTGTTTGCTGTTGTCTTTCATATAAACATTTTATTATTTGTTTATTTTGTTTAAAAACCTGCTAAAAAACAATCAATTCCCTAATAAAACTATATTTATTTAAGAATTTCTCTACTTTTTTTTTGCTTATCTGTCGAAACTAAATATTTATTTTCTTTTTAATTACAGAATGCTTTAGAATTAAGTGCCCCAGCAACACCGGTACTACTACAACAACAACAACAACAGCAGCAGCAACAACAAACCAATAACAAGCCCTCTGGCTGGTTACAGTTATCGGGTCATCCCGAAAGCATAGTACCCTGTTCAAGTGGTGTGGTGCGTAAACGTGTTAATAGTTTTGCCGATTATGAGGTTTTAGCTTATCAACAACTCAGACAGGAGCCACAAACCAGTAAAATAGTACCCGAATTTTATGGCAATGTACAATTGGAATCGGGGGAAATGTTCATAGAATTGCAGGATTTGTTAAAAGGTTTCAAAGATCCCTGTGTTATGGATATTAAAATGGGTTGTCGCACCTTTTTGGAATCCGAAGTGGGTAATAAAACTTTAAGACCAGACTTATATCAAAAAATGATTAAAGTAGATGCTATGGCACCCACCGCAGAAGAACACCAACAGAAAGCCATTACCAAACTGCGTTATATGTTATTCCGTGAAGCTATGTCCTCCTCACAATCCAAAGGTTTTCGCATAGAGGCCTTGCGTTTGAAAGGCAAACCTCCCATGAAAGATTTGAAAACAGTACGCTCTAATGAGCAAATTACCCAAACTATAGAGGAATTTGTGAGCCATAAGAAATCAGTGCAAAAGGATTTACTGAAACGTTTAAAATACATGCGTTCCGTAATGGAGAAATCGGAATTCTTTCAAACCCATGAAATTGTGGGCTCTAGTATTTTCATAGTTTACGATGACACTAAAGTTGGCTGCTGGCTAATAGATTTTGCCAAATCTAGACCTCTGCCGGAACAATTAACACTCAATCATCGTTCTGAATGGGTGCCCGGTAATCGTGAGGAGGGTTTGTTGAAAGGCATGGATGAACTTATTAATGCTTTTGAAATGGTTTACCAAAAACAGCATTCTTCTTTAGGCCGCAAATTTTTACAAATTTAAGAATTTTTTTTTAAGAAAATTTTTTAAATTTACAAGAAAAAAATCATTTAAAGACTGATCACATTATAAATTTTTGTAAATTTCTTTTAAACTCATTTTCGTGCTTTAATTTCTTTTATCATTTCAAAACTAATTAGAATTTATTAACATTTATTATGCATTTCAATATTTATAAAAACAAACATTTCATTATTATTATTTTCCATATTGGAAAACTGTTAATTTGTAGTTAATTAAAGAAAAAGACTTTTGTTAACAAATTTCTTTAAAAAAAAAGTATTGTATTTTATAATTAAAACAACTTAAAATAAGCAAAACAAAACATCATTGAAAGAAAACATCAAAATAAACTCTCAACTAATAAAAAAAATTAAGAAAATTTCTTTAAAATTTATATTCGAACATTTGTTTTTTAACTTAATTTCACATTTCTTTAAATTTTGCTTAAAAAATCTTTAAAACAATCATTTAATACATCATTTACTTAATTATTTTGTTAAGTTTTAGTTTTTAAATCTATTAAAATTGTATGTAAACACAAATGTATACTGTAATTAGTAAATTAATATAAAAAATATACAAATTTAAACAAAAATTTATGAAAAAATTAAAAAACAAAAGTGTTTTGATTAAAGATAATTTGCCAGCGACAGCTGTATCAACCTAAAGTTGTTTCCCCAGGAAGGAACGAACTATCGACCACAAACGAACTGTTACAACAGCAACCTTTACAATAATACATAATTCAAACTTAACAAAACTCATCACTACTTTTGTTAAGTTTCGAACAAATATCCTTTTAAAAACTATAGATTTCTTTTTACTTACATTAATTGCAATGTTTTTACCTTAGAATTCCGTTTTATTTCATAAAATATTTGGCAACTCTGTCTAAATAAGTTTTAAAATGTTGCTAATTAGTTAGTAAGATTTTAAAATTAACAAAATCTCCAAAACAAATTGTGAAAAGTAAATATTTTTCATCATTATCATCATACACTCGCGTCTTTCACATAGAATGATGATGACGTCATCATAAATTTTGTCTGACAATTTTTCCAACTTGCAAAATACCCTCAAATTCATTTCTTAATACCAGGTGCACAGCATCATATGAAAAGCAGCAGGCTGCTTTTTTATTTTTTTAAGAAAATTTCCACAGCATACTTTAAGGATGTGAAAAGTATTTGGGTCAGCTTGTTTGTTATTAAAGCAACAGAGTGATTCAGCTATTTTCAAAAGCCTAAAAGTATGCTTTACAGATTTCTCAATACAACAAAATGCAGCAGGTTGCTGTTAGAGAATTAAAGAAAGGGATTGTTGTTATTTAATTTGTTTTTTTGTTGATCTTTTTTAACATCTTGTAAAACCAGGACTTTACTCTTGCTACGAATCAAATTATTGGCACTTTTGTTAAGAAACACTTTGAAATCTATAAACTAAAACACAAACTAACACATTATTGCTAATATGTATATAATTTGTAACCAAAACTTTGCTTATTTGACGCTCAATTATTATCGCCTTTTAGTTTCAACTGTGAAGCCTACAAAAATTCAAAAGTCCCGACTTAGAAGGCATCAAAGTGAAGCAAGATTGAATTGTAACTAAAAACCAACTTCATTTTTTAATTTGTCCGCCAAAAGATGAAATAAATTCAAAGATTAAATTAAACCTGTTATTGTAGTTAAGGTAAAAAAAATGCCTACGTGATTTTGTAAAAAATTACAAAATTCGTTTAATAAATTCATAAAATCTCAACGTCATAGTTCATAATCCCAAGATAATAAAAACAGATACCGACTAATTGTACACATTATTTGGTTCTCCATAACGTATGATAATTATTATTTACTTACAAATGACCTTCATGACGTATGATTAATGCTTACAAAAAAACTAATGGCTACGTGATATTTGAAACATACTCATATTTTCAAACCTCCCAAACCAAAACCATATGAACAACTTCTTTAATGGAAAATTACAAAATAAATAAATAATTTAAGATAAAAGTAAAGTGGCTGCAGCAAAACATACAATTTGTTATCTTAAAAACATGCAAAAAATATCAACAATAACAAGTAAAACATAGAAACTATTTTTTATAGAAATAAACAAACGAAAATACAGTGTGTCAATATTAATAAGACAACAACACAAATAAATAAAAACAAAACGCCATGTAAACGCAAAGCATTTCTCAAACAACACCCTTAATAATAGGAAAACTGAGAGAGCAAAATAAATGTAAATAAATACAACACCAACTACCAAACAATAATATAGGAAGAGTACCTTATGAGAAGAATAACAAAAGAAAAATGAGACAAAAAATTAATACCTTAAAGAGAAGCGAAATACTTTGACACAATGGGGTAATTTCAAAAAAATTGCATATACTACACTATAGACTAGACTATAGACTAGACATAGACTAGACTAGACTAGACTATAGACTAGACTATAGACTAGACTATAGACTAGACTAGACTATAGACTAGACTATAGACTAGACTATAGACTAGACTATAGACTAGACCTATAGACTAGACTATAGACTAGACTATAGACTAGACTATAGACTAGACTATAGACTAGACTATAGACTAGACTATAGACTAGACTATAGACTAGACTAATAGACTAGACTATAGACTAGACTATAGACTGACTATAGACTAGACTACTAGACTAGACTATAGACTAAAGCCTGTAGACTAGACTACAGAATAGCCTATAGACTAAACTATAGACTAGACGATAGAAAAGCCTATAGACTAAACTATAGACTAGACTAGTAGACCTAGACTATAGACTAGCCTGTAGACTAGACTACAGACTAGCCTATAGACTAAACTATAGACTAGACTATAGACTAGCCTTAGACTAGACTATAGACTAGACTGTAGACTAGCCTTAGACTAGACTATAGACTAGCCTATAGACTAACCTATAGACTAGCCATGGACTAAACTATACTAACTATAGACTAGACTATAGACTAGACGATAGACTAGACTAAACTATAGACTAACTATAGACTAGACTATAGACTAGACTATGACTAGACTATAGACTATAGACTAGACTAGTCTAGACTATAGACTAGACTAGACTATAGGACTAGACCATAGTCTAGACTATAGACTAGACCATAGTCTAGACTATAGACTAGACTATAGACTAGACTATAGACTAGACTATAGACTAGACTAGACTAAGACTATAGACTAGACTATAGACTAGACTATAGACTAGACTATAGACTAGACTATAGACTAGACTATAGACTAGACTATAGACTAGACTATAGACTAAGACTATAGACTAGACTATAGACTAGGACTATAGACTAGACTATGACTAGACTATAGACTAGGACTATAGACTAGACTATAGACTAGACTATAGACTAGACTATAGACTAGACTATAGACTAGACTATAGACTAGACTATAGACTAGACTATAGACTAGACTATGACTAGATAGACTAGACTATAGACTAGACTATAGACTAGACTATAGACTAGACTATAGACTAGACTAGCTAGACTATAGACTAACTATAGACTAGACTATAGACTAGACTATAGACTAGACTATAGACTAGACTATAGACTAGACTATAGACTAGACTATAGACTAGACTATAGACTAGACTATAGACTAGACTATAGACTAGACTATAGACTAGACTATAGACTAGACTATAGACTAGACTATAGACTAGACTATAGACTAGGCTACAGACTAGCCGATAGACTAGACTATAGACTAGACTATAGACTAGACTATAGACTAGCCTATAGACTAAACTATAGACTAGACTATAGACTAGACTATAGACTAGCCTATAGACTAGACTATAGACTAGACTATAGACTAGACTATAGACTAGACTATAGACTAGACTATAGACTAGACTATAGACTAGCCTATAGACTAGACTATAGACTAGCCTATAGACTAGCCTATAGACTAGACTATAGACTAGCCTATAGACTAGACTATAGACTAGACTATAGACTAGACTATAGACTAGACTATAGACTAGACTATAGACTAGACTATAGACTAGACTATAGACTAGACTATAGACTAGACTATAGACTAGACTATAGACTAGACTATAGACTAGACTATAGACTAGACTATAGACTAGACTATAGACTAGACTATAGACTAGACTATAGACTAGACTATAGACTAGACTATAGACTAGACTATAGACTAGACTATAGACTAGACTATAGACTAGACTATAGACTAGACTATAGACTAGACTATAGACTAGACTATAGACTAGACTATAGACTAGACTATAGACTAGACTATAGACTAGACTATAGACTAGACTATAGACTAGACTATAGACTAGACTATAGACTAGGACTATAGACTAGACTATAGACTAGACTATAGACTAGACTATAGACTAGACTATAGACTAGACTATAGACTAGACTATAGACTAGACTATAGACTAGACTATAGACTAGACTATAGACTAGACTATAGACTAGACTATAGACTAGACTATAGACTAGACTATAGACTAGACTATAGACTAGACTATAGACTAGACTATAGACTAGACTATAGACTAGACTATAGACTAGACTATAGACTAGACTATAGACTAGACTAGACTATAAACTAGACTATAGACTAGACTATAGACTAGACTATAGACTAGACTATAGACTAGACTATAGACTAGACTATAGACTAGACTATAAACTAGACTATAGACTAGACTATAGACTAGACTATAGACTAGACTATAGACTAGACTATAGACTAGACTATAGACTAGACTATAGACTAGACTATAGACTAGACTATAGACTAGACTATAGACTAGACTATAGACTAGACTATAGACTAGACTATAGACTAGACTATAGACTAGACTATAGACTAGACTATAGACTAGACTATAGACTAGACTATAGACTATACTATAGACTAGGCTATAGACTAGACTATAGACTAGACTATAGACTGGACTATAGACTATACTATAGACTATACTATAGACTAGACTATAGACTAGACTATAGACTAGGCTACAGACTAGCCGATAGACTAGACTATAGACTAGACTATAGACTAGACTATAGACTAGGCTACAGACTAGCCGATAGACTAGACTATAGACTAGACTATAGACTAGACTATAGACTAGCCTATAGACTAAACTATAGACTAGACTATAGACTAGACTATAGACTAGCCTATAGACTAGACTATAGACTAGACTATAGACTAGACTATAGACTAGACTATAGACTAGACTATAGACTAGACTATAGACTAGCCTATAGACTAGACTATAGACTAGCCTATAGACTAGCCTATAGACTAGACTATAGACTAGCCTATAGACTAGACTATAGACTAGACTATAGACTAGACTATAGACTAGACTATAGACTAGACTATAGACTAGACTATAGACTAGACTATAGACTAGACTATAGACTAGACTATAGACTAGACTATAGACTAGACTATAGACTAGACTATAGACTAGACTATAGACTAGACTATAGACTAGACTATAGACTAGACTATAGACTAGACTATAGACTAGACTATAGACTATACTATAGACTAGGCTATAGACTAGACTATAGACTAGACTATAGACTGGACTATAGACTATCTATAGACTATACATAGACTACACTATAGACTAGACTATAGACTAGACTATAGACTAGACTATAGACTAGACTATAGACTAGACTATAGACTAGACTATAGACTAGACTATAGACTAGACTATAGACTAGACTATAGACTAGACTATAGACTAGACTATAGACTAGACTATAGACTAGACTATAAACTAGACTATAGACTAGACTATAGACTAGACTATAGACTAGACTATAGACTAGACTATAGACTAGACTATAAACTAGACTATAGACTAGACTATAGACTAGACTATAGACTAGACTATAGACTAGACTATAGACTAGACTATAGACTAGACTATAAACTAGACTATAGACTAGACTATAGACTAGACTATAGACTAGACTATAGACTAGACTATAGACTAGACTATAGACTAGACTATAGACTAGACTATAGACTAGACTATAGACTAGACTATAGACTAGACTATAGACTAGACTATAGACTAGACTATAGACTAGACTATAGACTAGACTATAGACTAGACTATAGACTAGACTATAGACTAGACTATAGACTAGACTATAGACTAGACTATAGACTAGACTATAGACTAGACTATAGACTAGACTATAGACTAGACTATAGACTAGACTATAGACTAGACTATAGACTAGACTATAGACTAGACTATAGACTAGACTATAGACTAGACTATAGACTAGACTATAGACTAGACTATAGACTAGACTATAGACTAGACATAGACTAGACTATAGACTAGACTATAGACTAGACTATAGACTAGACTATAGACTAGACTATAGACTAGACTATAGACTAGACTATAGACTAGACTAGACTATAGACTAGACTATAGACTAGACTATAGACTAGACTATAGACTAGACTATAGACTAGACTATAGACTAGACTATAGACTAGACTATAGACTAGACTATAGACTAGACTATAGACTAGACTATAGACTAGACTATAGACTAGACTATAGACTAGACTATAGACTAGACTATAGACTAGACTATAGACTACACTTTGGTCCAGACTATAGTCCAGACTATAGACTAGACTATAGTCCAGACTATAGACTAGACTATAGTCCAGGCTATAGACTAGACTGTAGTAATTTCTATGGACTAAAATGTATCTATGGTCTAGTTTAGCCATAAATTGTATATTTATATTTGTGGCCCAGAGTACTACACAGATATTAGAGCACTACAATTATAAAAACAGAAAAAGCACTGATATGACAGCAAGAACCTTCTCTCGCACATACACACGCATACAGTATACGTAACAAACATAATATTACATGATTTACAACCGGCAAAAAATTTATGCAAAAATAATTTGCAATTAATTAAAAAAACAAATATATAAACCCAATCATGCCGGAAATAGAAGAAAAACAAGACTTAATAGTAAGTGTTAAGAAAACAAAATAACAAAATATGAAACAATTTCTTTTATACAATTAAAGTCTGTGATTATTACGGTTTTAAATGGTGGCCCTTGGATAGATAGTTGTATGGAATCGATTATTAAACAAACAGCTGTACAAACACAACAACAATTGCAGACCTTAGAAAAATTGCATTTGGATGAAGCGCAGAATCCATTTATGTCAACCATGACCAACTCACCAAAAACAACAGCAACAACTGCAACAACACCAACCCACAATTTAGCAACAAGTCTATTAGATGATAATGATGACGTATTAAAACCCCTTATAGAGGTTTGTGTCTTTGATGATTGCAGTAGTGATGACACTCTTAAATTACTGTATAAATGGCAGTTAAATTTAAGAGAAAATTTTAATATTGATATGCATATAGTAGAGAATTTAACGGGTAAACCAAAAGGAGGTAAATTAAGAGAGACTATTGTTTGTAGGATTATAATTATTAACAAATTATGTATAATTGTAGTGGGCTATGGACGCAATCGAGCCATAGAGGCTGCCAAGGGCAATTATTTATGTTTTCAAGATATCGATGATGAAATGCTAACGTCGCGTATTTGGAAACAATATAATTTAGCGAAGCAATATAAAAATGCGGTAATTTTTTTTTTAAACTATTACTTTTAGACTAAACTATAATTTATTCCTATTCTGGACTATACTCTAGAATTAGGACTTAAGCCTAGTCTAAAGTCTGAACTAAAATCAATTTTAGAGCCACGACTATAGGCTAGTCTTTAGTCAATATTTTGGACTGCAGTCTAGTCTATTGTCTAGTCTATAGTCAGTCTATAGTCAAGTCTATAGTCTAGTCTATACTCTAGTCTATAGTCTAGTCTATACTCTAGTCTATAGTCTAGTCTATAGTCTAGTCTATAGTTCTAGTCTATAGTCTAGTCTATAGTCTAGTCTATAGTCTAGTCTATAGTCTAGTCTATAGTCTAGTCTATAGTCTAGTCTATAGTCTAGTCTATAGTCTAGTCTATAGTCTAGTCTGTAGTCTAGTCTATAGTCTAGTCTATAGTCTAGTCTAGTCTAGTCTAGTCTAGTCTATAGTCTAGTCTATAGTCTAGTCTAGTCTAGTCTATAGTCTAGTCTATAGTCTAGTCTATAGTCTAGTCTATAGTCTAGTCTATAGTCTAGTCTATAGTCTAGTCTATAGTCTAGTCTATAGTCTAGTCTATAGTCTAGTCTATAGTCTAGTCTATAGTCTAGTCTATAGTCTAGTCTATAGTCTAGTCTATAGTCTATAGTCTAGTCTATAGTCTAGTCTATAGTCTAGTCTATAGTCTAGTCTATAGTCTAGTCTATAGTCTAGTCTATAGTCTAGTCTATAGTCTAGTCTATAGTCTAGCCTAGTCTATAGTCTAGTCTATAGTCTAGTCTAGTCTATAGTCTAGTCTAGTCTATAGTCTAGTCTAGTCTATAGTCTAGTCTAGTCTATAGTCTAGTCTATAGTCTAGTCTATAGTCTAGTCTATAGTCTAGTCTATAGTCTAGTCTATAGTCTAGTCTATAGTCTAGTCTATAGTCTAGTCTATAGTCTAGTCTATAGTCTAGTCTATAGTCTAGTCTATAGTCTAGTCTATAGTCTAGTCTATAGTCTAGTCTATAGTCTAGTCTATAGTCTAGTCTATAGTCTAGTCTATAGTCTAGTCTATAGTCTAGTCTATAGTCTAGTCTATAGTCTAGTCTATAGTCTAGTCTATAGTCTAGTCTATAGTCTAGTCTATAGTCTAGTCTATAGTCTAGTCTATAGTCTAGTCTATAGTCTAGTCTATAGTCTAGTCTATAGTCTAGTCTATAGTCTAGTCTATAGTCTAGTCTATAGTCTAGTCTATAGTCTAGTCTATAGTCTAGTCTATAGTCTAGTCTATAGTCTAGTCTATAGTCTAGTCTATAGTCTAGTCTATAGTCTAGTCTATAGTCTAGTCTATAGTCTAGTCTATAGTCTAGTCTATAGTCTAGTCCTATAGTCTAGTCTATAGTCTAGTCTATAGTCTAGTCTATAGTCTAGTCTATAGTCTAGTCTATAGTCTAGTCTATAGTCTAGTCTATAGTCTAGTCTATAGTCTAGTCTATAGTCTAGTCTATAGTCTAGTCTATAGTCTAGTCTATAGTCTAGTCTATAGTCTAGTCTATAGTCTAGTCTATAGTCTAGTCTATAGTCTAGTCTATAGTCTAGTCTATAGTCTAGTCTATAGTCTAGTCTATAGTCTAGTCTATAGTCTAGTCTATAGTCTAGTCTATAGTCTAGTCTATAGTCTAGTCTATAGTCTAGTCTATAGTCTAGTCTATAGTCTAGTCTATAGTCTAGTCTATAGTCTAGTCTATAGTCTAGTCTATAGTCTAGTCTATAGTCTAGTCTATAGTCTAGTCTATAGTCTAGTCTATAGTCTAGTCTATAGTCTAGTCTATAGTCTAGTCATAGTCTAGTCTATAGTCTAGTCTATAGTCTAGTCTATAGTCTAGTCTATAGTCTAGTCTATAGTCTAGTCTATAGTCTAGTCTATAGTCTAGTCTATAGTCTAGTCTATAGTCTAGTCTATAGTCTAGTCTATAGTCTAGTCTATAGTCTAGTCTATAGTCTAGTCTATAGTCTAGTCTATAGTCTAGTCTATAGTCTAGTCTATAGTCTAGTCTATAGTCTAGTCTATAGTCTAGTCTATAGTCTAGTCTATAGTCTAGTCTATAGTCTAGTCTATAGTCTAGTCTATAGTCTAGTCTATAGTCTAGTCTATAGTCTAGTCTATAGTCTAGTCTATAGTCTAGTCTAAAGTCTAGTCTATAGTCTAGTCTATAGTCTAGTCTATAGTCTAGTCTATAGTCTAGTCTATAGTCTAGTCTATAGTCTAGTCTATAGTCTAGTCTATAGTCTAGTCTATAGTCTAGTCTATAGTCTAGTCTATAGTCTAGTCTATAGTCTAGTCTATAGTCTAGTCTATAGTCTAGTCTATACTCTAGTCTATAGTCTAGTCTATAGTCTAGTCTATAGTCTAGTCTATAGTCTAGTCTATAGTCTAGTCTATAGCCTAGTCTATAGCCTAGTCTATAGTCTAGTCTATAGTCTAGTCTATAGTCTAGTCTATAGTCTAGTCTATAGTCTAGTCTATAGTCTAGTCTATAGTCTATATAGTCTATAGTCTATATAGTCTATAGTCTATATAGTCTATAGTCTAGTCTATAGTCTTGTCTATAGTCTAGTCTATAGTCTAGTCTATAGTCTAGTCTATAGTTTAGTCTATAGTTTAGTCTATAGTCTAGTCTATATGCTATAGCCTAGTCTACAATATTGCCTATTGTCAGCTCTATAGACTTCTCTATAATTTGTTTTTAATTTTTTCTCCCTTTTCTCTATTTTCCAGATAATTGGCTCCAAATTTATACGCACACCCAGTAATTCAACCTGCCGTTTTACCCGCTGGGCTAACGAATTATCCCACGATAAATTAACTATACAAATTTATACCTCTAATGGTCCCACTATTATAATGCCCACTTGGCTGTGTCATCGTCAAGTTTATGAACTTATTAAAGGGGGATTTTCCGAGCAAGGCAAAGGTTGCCCTGAGGATTTAATATTCTTCTATCAACATTTAGATAACCAGGGTGTAATTAAACGTGTCGAAGAATGTTTGCTAAAATATCGTTATCATGCGGAGGCCACTACTTTTAGTGTGGCTGCCAGAACCATTTGGCATATAAGACTTAGCCACTTGCTGGAGAATGTCTTAAGAAAACCGCCCTGGAGTAAGGGTTTCTCAATTTGGAATGCTGGGAAGCAGGGTAGAAAATTCTTTAGGGATTTGCCGCCGGAGGAGAAGAAAAAAGTTAAGACATTTTGTGATGTGGATAAAAGTAAGAATTAAATTTTGTTAAATTTTCAAATATTTCAAAATTGTTTTAATATTTTAGATAAAATCCATAAATTATATAAATATTATGATGCAGTTTTAAGGCAGATTACCTTTTCTATACCCATAGTACATTTTTCGGTGGTGGAGCCGCCAGTGGTGATATGCATGAAATTGGATTTAACTAATGGTGATTTTGAAATGAATTTACAAAGTTTGCAATTCGAAGAAGGAAAAGATTATATTTTGTTTACATAAATCGAAAGTTTGGAGAGTTCACTAAACCAGAAGAGTTTAGCTGCAGAAAAATTTGTTATAAGAAAGATATTATAAATATCTTAAAATATTTAGATTTTTTAGAAATCTCAAGAAACGTAGTGATATTTTTTTTTAAATTTATTGATATAACTTAATAAAGCACAAGTAATTGTTTTAAAAAATTTATAATAAAATGAAATTTTGCATAAAATAAAGTAAAAGTTATGGTTGTTAGTTAGTTTTATTTATTACTACTAAATTTTTAAGGTTTCTTACTTAAATTAGAAAAAAAATTAAACATAAAAAGTCTTACCTTAAGCAGCAAAAGGTAACAAAATTAAGCAGATGTTTGAATTATGGTTAAATGAAATTGTTTAAAATTAGAAATGATGAGCATTTAAGAAGTAGACGTAGATGCATTACAGAAAAATAAAGTTTTAAAGTTGTTGTTGTTGTGGCGTTAAATTTAACTACTATAACCTAATCTGTCAAAAACTGAAGCTGTTTTTGACGTTTTCGGTGAAGATTTTTCAATATTAACTCTACCCAAACGTTTTGATATGTTTGAAACATTAGAACTACTAGAGGAAGAGGCAGATGATGATTTTGTAGTAGATGGAGAGGATTTACCCAAACGTTTGTGTACTGGCAAGTCATGGCGTTGTATTACCTCATCGGCTTTCATTTTTGATAGAGTTTTCAATTTGGAGGGTGGTGATGCCTTAAGATTAAGAGATTTTTTGGTGCTGTGTAGTTTGGCATCTAAAAAGCAAGAGTAAAAGTTAAACAACAATAATTAATCTTAATTTTAAGAAACTTACTCAAACCCAGGCGTGCCTTAACACCAGCCGGCTTTTCTTTTATAAAATCTTGTCGTGGCTTAAAAGTTTTTCTTGTGGGTGAACTATAACGGCGGGGAGCTATTTCTCTTACTTCGGCTGTAGAGGCAAATTTGACAAATTTTTCACTACCACCCGATATATCCATATCATCATACATATCATCATCGGCAGAGGAAGCCATACTTTCATCTTCATCACTTTCTTTTTTAAGCGGTACTTTTTTCACTAAGATAACTTTTTGTTTAATGGGCTTAACAATTGTGGGCGCCACAACCGTTTTAGCTTTAACAATAGTTGACAGGCGCTGGAAAAGTTAACAAAACAACAACATCAAAAATATGAAATGATTAAAAACTGACTATTCTTCTGTCTTTATACTTACATTTTTAGCGGTATTTTTCAAAATAGGTTTAATTTGTTTCGATACTATAGCCTCATCACTAGCCTTACCGCCCAGCCTAGAAAATATCGAGGAAGATGTCTGTAAAGACCTGCTGCCTACACCCGTAATTCTCATTTTGACATTATCTAAACTATCAACCGAAGAAGAATCATTATTATCCTCTAATACAATAGTATCTTTAGAATTCTTAGCCAAACGTTTAAAAATATCCGATTTTTCCTTAGACGCCTCTCTGTCGGAATATACTATCATAAAAAATAAGGATTAATAATAGAAACCTAAGAGTTTTTTCCTAAAAGTTAAACTTACATTTAGCTTGTTTGGCCAAAATTTGTTTACTGCGCTCGGTGGTGCCGGAAGGCAATTTGATTTTGTATTTACCCTCATGTTCGGGTAAAACACGTCGTGGTTTGACAGCCGGTAAAGGTGCCACTACAGCTGCTGAGCTGCTAGAAGCTACTGAAGCTGTGGCTAAAAGTTAACAAATAAATTAAAAAGCAATACATTAATATATTAAAAAAAGCTTACATTTTAAACGAATTTTTTTCTCCAAAGGTGTTGCCGGATTTGCCGGCACCGCTGCTATGGGTACGGGTGTCTCACAGCTTAATACTTTTTCCCGGGCCGTTTGATCACACACCGTTTTAGCATGCCTTTATATGTTATAACCATTATAATAGTTCATATTTTAACTTTTAGAAATCAAAATCCTACCTTAATATGGCTATTATATCTCCCATTAAAGTAATGCCCATTTCTCTTAAATATTCCTTGTTTAAATCCATTAACATATCAACTTGTATGCGGTTCTCTACAAATATATGAGCATAGGTGGCTGCAGCCGGTGAGGGTATGCCGGAAGCATTAAAAAATTTTACCCATTGTCCTAAATAAAATAAAAATTACACAATTACTAGAATGTTCATTAATTTAAAAAACGAATTTATTAAATTTATATTATAATTACATTTGGATGCATCAAAAAATTATGGTAATGATAAAAATTGTAGTGATATGAAATATGTTTTAATTGTTTTCTTCACTTACCCGCTGTGGTAGTAGACATTTTATTGCAATTCCCTTTTTATATTTTATTTATTATATTTATTATTATAGCTTTTTTCTTTTTTTAAGGGCTTTTTACTAAAAATAAAATGTTCTCAATCAAATGTTTCTTGCAGGGGTCGCCATTGTGTCAGAAAAAAATCAACAACAAACCAAATGTCAATTATTTTCAATAGCAGTGTTACCAATTCAGCTGTTTTTTTTAATGATAAGCGTTTATATGGCAGTTTTAGCATTTTCTTGTGTAATTAACAAATTGACATTACTTAAAACTAAACAAAAAATATGGCAACTGCATTGAACATACTCTATGGCAACCAAAATAAACAAAAAACGCTTTTTAAGTTAAACATTTTTATATTATTTATGAAAATGAAATAATTTTTAAATAACTATATGATTTAAGTATTTCAAATAAGCCTTATCATTTTTGTAAAATTTCTATAAAAACTGTTTTGATTTTAATTCTTTCACAGTAGTCAGAAAAACTTGCGGCGTTCGAAAATATTAAGGGCGGCTTTGTTAGAAACATGTAAAAACAACTTATAATGATTAAAAATTTACATATTAACATATACATTTTTATAATTTTAAATATTTCATGAATACATATTTCATTAAATTAGTTAAATTATGTTGACGCTCTTAAGTTTTAAAACTGATTAGCTGCTAGTCGTTGTTATTTAATTATGTGATCTGGCAACTTGTTGCCTGTTTATAACTAAAAACACATTGACAGCTGCAGTCAGCACTTGACAAAAACATTAAAATTTCAGAAAAATTATAAAGAAAATATAGTAAAGTTCTGAAAAATCATATTAAATTTTAACAGAATGCTCTTAATGCCTTATGATTATGTTGAGAAATTCATGGAAATTTTTAAATTCTATTTGGCTTTTGTTAATTTCATCGATGTGGTAGTTCCCAATCAAAATCGTAGTTTGTGGACGCGTGAAGAATTCCGACAGAATGAACGCGAATTATATAGTTTATACAATGATCTATTGGAATTAATAAAACAGCATAATAGTCGTGAATTTCGCAAGTTTACGCGCATAAATGTCTCCACCTATCAGTACTTAATACGCATTTTAAAAAAGAAATTGGTTAAGTACTCTTTGCGTAAACCCATACCGCCAGAATGTCGTCTAATGTTGACGTTAATGTAAGTACATATAACGGTAATTTTGAAAATTTAATAAAACAATTTTAATTTCAGCTATTTAGCCCACGATTCCGCTAGAACGTTATTATCCTTGGCTTTTCGTATGGGTAAGTCAACGGTTAGAGAAATTATATTGGATACTTGCCAGGTTATATGTGAGGAATTGGGACCGTCGTACTTAAAATCCTCTAAATCAACTGCCGATGACTATTTTGCTTGGGCGGAGGAATTTGAAAAGGAAACCGGTTTACCCAACTGTATGGGATGCATCGATATTATAGAATTTCAACATGATAAGAAATGCTTTTCTCCTATTATTACAATGGCGGCCTGTAATGCTAAATATCAAATCACCCATGCTGATGTGGCTCTACCCAAAGAGATTAAGGAAAAGGATAATTTCATTAATCGTTTAATACAAAAACAATTACAATTACCCAATGATATGGTGATGCCCGATACAGGTTTAATGTTGTCGCCCTATTTCATAACCCCTGCCAATTTTCCTTTGGTTGACAATGTCATGAGGCCTTATCCGGGTAAAATTTTAACGCCAGAAAAACATAATTTAAATGAAAACTTAAAAGTGGGTTCACGATTAATAGAAAATACATTGGGTATTTTGATTTGGAAATGGAAGGTGTTGCAGAACAAATTCACTTGCCGCATGGACATTGGAGTGGAACACATAGTCAAAGCCACCATGATTTTACACAACTTTGCCATGCAACATGATTCATGTTATTTTCACAAGAAATTTGTCGATCATTATGATGATAATTCATTGGAATTTGTGCCTGGGTTATGGCGCCAACAAGATTTTCAAATAACGCATTCAAAGATCTACTATGAAAGTAATGCTAAAGAAGAAGCATTTGCTAACCGAGATTTATTAAAAGAATATTTATATAATAAACATAATAATCAATAAAAAATGAAAAAAATCTTTAAAAAACCGTTATAGTTGTTGTATATTACTCTGCTGATGATTAACAATCTCTAGAGTAACCAATTCCAGTATTCTTTGCTGCAAACGCATTTGTGTTAAAGCGGGTAAATTGGCTTCTTCCACCTGCAGAGCCAAAGAGTTGAAAAATACTTGATTCGAGGAGGGCGGTGTAAAATGTTTTTTGGCATTTTGCAATAAGCTGGTCATTTCTGAACAGGCCTCCTGTATTAAGGCCTCTTTATCATATTTTTTCTTCTTATTTAATTCGTTATCGGGGCGATAGCTGTGGACATAGTTGCTGCTGCCACCGCTAGAGGTGGTGTTGGCGGTATTGGCTGTGTTGGAGGCGTTCGTGTTTTGCGTAGTTGGTTGATCTATCTTTTTCACATAATCATTTAAATCAAAATTTTCGATTTCAAAATCGGCTTCATTCGAGAGCTCTTGTTCATTGTAGATTGAAACATCAAATTGTTGCACCTCTCCTTCGGTTTGATTTAAATTTGAGATGGCAGCTTCAGTCTCATCATCATAGTTTTCTTCGGTTTTGAAAATAACATTGCTAAAAAAGGAATATTTTTGTTTAATATGAATACTGTGGTTTAATAAAAATACTATCAATCTAGCATCTACTAACTATCTATCTACGAGCTATCTAGATCTATCTATCTATCATCGATCTACTATCGAGCGAGCGAGCGAGCTAGCGAGCGAGCGATCTAGAGATGAGCGAGCGAGGAGAGCGAGCAGCGAGCTAGCGAGCTATCGAAGAGAGAGCGAGCGAGCGAGCGAGCGAGCGAGCGATCGAGCGATCGATCGATCTATCTATCTATCTATCTATCTATCTACATCTATCTATCTATCATCTATCTATCTATATATCTATCTATCTATCTATCTATAGCTATCTATCTATCTATCTATCATCTATCTATCTATCTATCTATCTATCTATCTAATTATCTGTCTGGATTCATCCCACTTACTCATCAAATTGATTGTTCAGAAACGACATGGCATATAATACTGCCAGGTTCTAGTGGACAACACATCTCCATCATCGCCCTTTTTCATTTTCTGTTTGTAGGAACGCAAATAAGGTCTCGCAAATGTTTCCATTTCTGACGCACCGTAGCGGCTTAAAATAAACAAAAAAAAACAAACATTTTAACATGACCACATACCAAGCGATAACTACCAGCCACCACAAACTTACGATCTTTACGCAAAATTCTGCCAATCTCCTGCCATTTCGCCTTTTTCTCATCTAAATATTTAATAGTACGATATTGTTTTTCATATAAAACGGGATTATTTTTAATAAATTCAATTAATTTATATTCCATTTTAATCACGAAAATAATCTTTTAAACAATTTATAAACAAAATTAACGAAAAGCGTCGTCCTCTTTTCTAATGAAAAAATTTGACAACAAACAGCTGTTTCTGGCATTTCTAACAAAAGAATAAGATGCCAGAGTTTTTGGTTTTTTTAGGAGATAAATATAATAACAATAAGCAAATTTGTTCAAGGCGATAGCAGGGGTTTGACATATTAGATTAATGGAGAACATTTTTTATAAGTGGAGTTTGACATTTACAATTTGATTTTCGGATAAGCTGCCTTTAGCATCTGAAGTAAATATTTAGCCTTCACTGAACACACCCTCAAGAAAATGTAAACAAAACTTCAATGTTTTCTTTTTTTTATTATCAACAACACGCGGTTTTTTCTTTTTGTATTTTTTGTATAAAAAAGTTAACAAATTAGTTTTTAAAATACAAAATGTCTAATTCTGAATTATTAAGCGATCAAGGTTTGCGTTTAGACGGTCGACGTCCCCATGAATTAAGACGCATCAAGTGCAAATTGGGTGTTTTTGAACAACCCGATGGCAGTGCCTATTTGGAGCAAGGCAATACTAAAGTATTGGCCGCAGTATATGGTCCCCATCAAGCGACAAGTAAAAAATTGGATATAAATGAAGTAGTTATCAACTGTCAATATAGCATGGCTACATTTTCCACGGCGGAGAGAAAAAATCGTCCTCGAGGAGATCGTAAATCACAAGAAATTACTTTGTATCTCAGACAAGCTTTAAGGGCCGCTATTAAAACTGAACTATATCCTCGCTCTCAGATTGATGTTTACATTGAGGTATTACAAGCGGATGGTGCTAATTATGCAGTGGCTTTAAATGCCGCCACTTTAGCTTTGGTTGATGCTGGAATTTGTCTCAAGGAATATGTGGTAGCCTGTACCGCCTCGCTCAGTAAGAACAATATTCCACTAACTGATGTCTCACATCTTGAGGAGGTGTCCGGTGGCCCTACACTCACAGTTGCTTCTCTGCCCTCTTCCAATAAGATAGCGTTTATGGAAATGTCCCAGCGTTTTCATTTGGACAATTTGCCCAAAGTAATGGAACAGGCTTTAGCCGGTTGTCGTGAGATACAAGCTATTATGGAAACTGCCGTGCGTAAGCATTTAATGCAAATGGGTTCGGCGGGAGACTGGAGTAATATAGCAAAATAAACAAACAAATGTATAATGGAAACCAAAAATTGGATTTTTTTATTTTAAGATTATAAAAACAAAAAGTTATATTTTTTCTTAACACAATTAACAATTATTTCTCTTTAGCAGCCTTCATTTCTTCAGCATTATAACTTTCTATCATTTCGGTCAAACGTTTTTTACGGAAATCCAAAGCTATTTTTCTAATAAGATTATTTAAATGTTCTCCGCCCTCAAAGAACTCTTTCAGATTGTGTACAGTACCACCCTGAATGCGATGATCAGTGATGCGATCCTGCACAAAATTGTAGGTGCGAATTTTTTCATTACGATCCAAATTACCCTGTTGCGCCTTGCGTGTTGCCTTGGTACTAGCATCTGCAGATTCCAATTGTATTTGCACCAGTTTAGCTTGTAGTTTTTTTATTGCAATTTCTTTATTTTTAATTTGTGAACGTTCCGTTTGACTTTCTATGGCTATGCCCGAGGGTATGTGTACTATACGTACCGCTGAATCGGTGGTATTGACATGCTGTCCGCCGGCGCCACTGGCTCTCTTTGTTTCAATCTTTAAATCCTTTTCGTTTATAACAACATTTACGTCGGCCGGTCTGGGTATTACTGCCACGGAGGCGGTACTGGTGTGTATACGTCCTGATTTCTCAGTAGCTGGTACTCTTTGCACTCTATGTACACCCGCCTCATAACGTAAACGTTTAAAGGACTCCTCATCATTGACTATAACATTAGCATGCCTTAGACCGCCAATATCCGTTAGATCTTCGGCCAAAATCTCATAATCCCAATTATTGTTATCAAAATAATTGGTATACATATCATACAATTCTTTGGCAAATAACATGGCCTCCTGTCCCCCTGCACCCGCATTAACTTCAAATATTAAAGAGGGATAATACTCTGTATCGGCCAACGTTAAAATTTTCTCCATAAGCTCCCTCTCAGTCTTATCCATTAGGGTGGTATAAACTTCAGCTTCCTCTTTAATCAAATCTTTCATATCTATATCTTTTTCTGCTTCTATATCCTCCTTCGAGGGCATGTTACCCTTTAAGGCACGATGTTGTTCTAACATTTTAACTATATCCGATAACTGGGCCATTCTACGGTATTCATCATCATTACCGGAAGCATTTGTTCTTAAATCATAGAATTCTTTGCGTAAGGCTTCTAAATAATTTTGTAACTTTTCATTGTGGAAATCCAAAATGTTTGTATGACCACCGGCTGTTGAAGACAAAAGACGCACATTTTTTCCCGCCAAACTTGTCTTGTTTATTAGTTGTATTAAGCAACTTTTGTTAGTTACTTTCAAAAGCTTATTAAAAAACATTTTATTAATATTTTTAGTAATTTTTTCGGCTTTTAACTTAATATAACATGTATTAAGTAACTCACTAATAAAAAACGGTTTTGTTTTTGTTTAATTTTGACAGCTGTTTTTGTTTATATTTTTTGCTTAGAAAAACAGACTTGTTATAAAGACATGTGGTTTATTTACATAAATTAAAACAGGGTTGCTATTACTGTTAATAACATTTGTTTAATAAAGAGGGATAGGTCTGCTAACAGATTTTTATATATATACATATATAAATACTGATTAAAATGTTATAAAAACACTGCTAAAATTGCTGTTATATTAAATAAATTCTTTACTTATGTTTTTATATGATATTTCGCCAGCTGTTACCAACGAGTTTCCGTAGTGTAGTGGTTATCACGTGTGCTTCACACGCACAAGGTCCCCGGTTCGAACCCGGGCGGAAACAAATTGAGAGTTGCACCTTTTTTTTGCTTTTAATTAATTTTATTTTTTTACCAAATTCCCTACAAACATTTTCTATTGCGGAAGTTACCCGTGTGAAACTTCCAAACGTGCTAAAAGCTCGCCAGCGATGTTGCGGAAGTATAAGAATTCTTGTCACCAGTCGGGAAGAACTGATGCCGAGCTGGGGAACGTCTAATAGTAACTTGGAAGATACTTCTGGAAGACCCGCAGAAGAAACTTCTAGATGACTCTTGGAAGTAAGGTATTGCCAAAGACTCTTCTAGATGTGACTAGGAAGTCACTTCTTGAAGTGACTACCTAGTATCCTCTAGAAGTGTTCCTATCTTATCTTCTAGAAGATGAGTTTTCTCTTCTTCTAGAAGAAGAGTATTCTCTTCTTCTTGAAGATGAGTATTCTCTTCTTCTAGAAGATGAGTATTCTCGTCTTCTAGAAGATGAGTTTTCTCTTCTTCTATTTGTATACTCACCAAAATAAAATCTATAAAAATAAATCTAAATAAAATGAAATTTTATAGTTTTTATTGAATTAATTGAAATTAAAATAGTAGAAAAAATAACAGATTTAACAACTAATCTAAAAAAAGTAATATATGTACATTAGACCGACTCACAAAAAATGGTGCTTGAGTTACCCCCCTCATAATATTCGCTGTTATGTAATATGATGTTACCCAAAATATTTTCGGTTAAGTGTTGTCCATTCGTGAGCTGGACAGTTTTAAAGAAAATATCGTATGGGAACACGATTCTTCATGTTAAATTCAATATTTTATCCAGCTTCAAAAAATCTTTGTTATGTTTTATAATGGTTCCCAAAATATTTCTAGTCTATCGATGGCCGTTCGTGAGCTGAACCGGTTACAAAAAAGTCCCTTTTTAGTTATTTTGTTTTAAATTATACAGCATTTCTTAAACAATATATACAGTATGTGGTATCATTTGAAAGGTTTTTTGAAGCCAAGTCTAGTGGTGCGCAAAATTTAATATATACAGTATGTGGTATCATTTGAAAGGTTTTTTGAAGCCAAGTCTAGTGGTGCGCAAAATTTGCAAAATTGTGCATATATTTAATTTTTCTTAGTAAAAACCTAACAATTTTAAATATTTTGGAATATGACAATTATAAGCAAACGGTTATTTATGATTAATACATCATTGGACGCGACTTTAAAATACCTTTTAAACGATACCCCGTATTGGATATTTTGTTTCAAAACAAACAAAAATTTAAAAAAAATAATTCCAAAATACCTTTTTTTAATTTGGTCCAGCAGTCCAAAGCAAGGTAAATTTTGGGAGGGGTAACAAAAACACGTTTTTGCTTTCCATACAGAGTGAGTCGGTCTAATGTACATATGTATCAAAAATTTAGAATTATTTCCTTATAATAAGATAATTTTCAGGGAATCTGTATTAATATTCCAACTGCTGACTGGTATACTTCCAAAAATTGTAAAACGTTGGACTCTAAAATATTTTTGTAGTTCTTCATCAATTTTATGATTAATCCATCAAATTGTAAGAGTTATATTATGGAACGCATTAATCCTTCAACGAAATAAACCAAAATAATCTTATAATTAAAATTGAATATACATACTTTTGTATTTATTGAAATTACCAGTTATACTTTAGGAAGCAATAAAAATAGGATTCTCTCATGTCCAATACATTTACCACCAAAGTTTAAACGGTCAGATCCATTTTTTACATTTTCTGCAAATAATCGACATTTTTAGTGGAACCACGTGATGAAATAAGACATATATAACTTACCAGATCCCTTTTTTATATTTTAATTCGGTTAGAAGTATTTTAATATTAGCTACTGCTTTCTAAAAAATAAAATAATTAAAAATTAATTAATTTATTTATTTATTGTTTTGAATCAATAAAAACATTACCTTTCATGAACATTTTTTCAATAACTTGGAATTAAACCGTCTATAAAGATCTGAAATTACTAAGTCATGGATTATTTTTTAAATTATTTACAGTCACTAACGATAGAAACACCTTAACGACCCTAAACGGGATATTGCTTTTGACATTTTTTGTTTGCTCTCTTCTAATACTTAGGTTCAATCTTGGGAACAGCATGCTAAATATTAAGAATATTAGTATCTTATGATAGGTCATAGAAAGACCTGGTGTTAATAACTAAAAAAGTACCTATAATTAGAATAATTAAATCCAAAGCTATATGAAAATTAATAAAATTGTATTTATTTAAAAAAGGTGGGTTTTAAACAGTGGTGCTCAAACACATACTACCATAGTTTTATTTGTGTTGGTAAAGCAGCAGAGAACAGAATTCAATTCAAAATAAAAGTATACTAATAAAATGACTACAAACTATAAAGTATATGCTTACTGTCAAATATTTATTATGGATTTTGACAGCCAGCGTATAGCAAGGTCTATATATAAAAAACTATCAACTGTTCTCTCATGTTCTCCTACATTCATTCGGCTTTCTCAAAATTTTGTTGTTGTATTTCTGTGTGTATTTTAAAAACGTCGCGCACAGACCTTACTTTGACAAGTGCTGATCAGCAACTGATTTGATTTTGTTTTTCAAGTTGAGAGCAAACCAACTGATATTGCTCATTATAAAAAGAAGAAGAATTAAACCTGTAGTGTATGTGTATCAACTTAGCGTCAGCAGAATTTTCTTACCCTATCACGCGTGCTATGACACGGAAATATTGAGCTTCTCTGGTTTAAAACTATCTGATTTCAATATTAAATATCTTATATGGGCAATTTCGTGTCGAGTGACCCAAGTCAAAAAATAATTTATGTATAAAACAGTAGTATTAATTTCAATATAATGATTCCAGATAGCGTTTGAATACTTTAAGTAAAAATTTTAATGTATTTGGTTACGATAATGAAATACAAATAAAATTTTAGCTCAAAGTGATCATACGTAATCTAGAAAAAGGACCTAAACGCGCAAATAGTTTTAAAAATATTGAAAGTTAAGATTTAACTCAAATAAATCTAAATATGTTAAAAATGCAATGTTCATCAAATGAAAGCCGAAATGTACAACTTGAAAAAGTCTTTAAATGCTTATACCTCCTAAACGAATTAAGGGAGAGTCGAAATTTAATATAAAAACATTTTTAGTTAAACATATTAGACTTCGTTTAAAAATAATGGAAATGGAAGCCGTTTAGAGTTGTTAACTTATTCCTAAAATAGTATTTTAATGTAAAATATGACAACTTA